GGATAATTTAGTCTGTTTGGTATATAAATTCTTTCATAGTATTAGTTTGTGGGTGGATTTTAGTAAATATTTGTCTACAAGGGTTTTGCTGTACTTCTATAGTTTGTTGTAAACTTTTGTATGTGCTCTAGCTCTGCAAGTCTTATTTAAATTGCAGCTTGTCACAACTTGATAGTTAAAATTTGAAAGTGTACATTCATTGTTTACAATCATTTAGACACTGTCATAATTTAGAGAGAAATTTAATTAGTATAATAAAAGTACAGTCTTTCCTAAAATAATCTATTTGATTAAAAGTATCCAGAAAATAAAATACGTATGTACAGATCTCTGAAAACTATACTAACTGTAAGTACCTGTATTTCCATTACTGTATTTTACTTTATAATGCTGAAATTTAGGTATGCAAGGCTTGCGGGCTCTAAATTTACATAAATGTTGGATTATTGAGTGAGAGAAGTTTAAATTAACATAGTTTCAGTCTATAGAATTTCTATTATTTTGTTTTTATTAATATACATGACGGTATTTTGTAGTTCATGCTTTTGCCCTTAACCCCACACTTTAAGGTAACCTTGAGACATTAAACAAGTGTCCTGACTATATGTCATTAAAGATAAACTAGAGCTGTTTATAAGAGCTGAGGTGTAAACTATGGTGTCCTGGTTTAATAACATTCTGCTCTTGCATAATCTGCCCAGCCTGTTCTCCCTTAATTCAAGTGATGAAGCAATTTCATACTCCTCCATCTGATGTGTTTAGCGTGTCTGCTGGCACATGATGGCAGCTACAGTACGCATCACCCAGGTGAGAGCTGCATGTTATTGGCGGGTGACGCAGGTCGCCTAATGTTTATAAAAAACACTTAGAGCCTTCACACAAGTGTAAAATTAGGTGGAGGTGTATTTACAACTGGAAACAAGTGGCACTTTTTCACTAAAAAGGTTGTGGGAGTATGGAACAAGCCCCACAGCCATGATGTTGAGCTGATACATTGGCGTCTTTCAAAAAATGTCTGGATGAGATCCTTGGATATACTAGCTGCTAACTTCCAAATGGGCTAGATGGGCTGAATGCCCTACTATTATTGACTGTTCTGATGATCTTAATATATGATGAATATAAGGAGGGAGAATAGATGATAATAGTATGGAGGCCACAGTGCTTAAATACTGCATGAATAGCCAGGAGCTTTAGTAACTGACAGAGGAATGATAGTACAATTACTGTAGGTAAGAAGCAAAAAGCCTAATTTAGAATCTGCTCTGTTGGATATGAATTAAAAACCACATGGCTTCACTGTGTATCATAGCTTTATAAAGCACTCATCTGAACCTGGCAGAAGAGCTCCCATTTTGAAAAGGCACCAAATATCAAAGTAGGTTTTTAGATCAACTAAAAATAAAACCCTTCTGTTCTGAGACTGAAAGCAGATATATTACAGTCAATAGGTCTGATGCACTTTTTCTGTATCTTTACTTTCAGCTAAAAAAATCAACATTTTTAACAAACTGCTGCCCTGCACATTTTAGTCATTGTGACTGCAGTACAAAGATAAACATAGTAAAGGTACATGAAAAATTATATCTTGAAATCATACAGCATATAGTAGATGTATTTGGATTTAGAATATCATCATGTTTTGTAGTTTCCGTTTCAATCAAATGTCTACATTTGCACTTACTTGCAAGAACTATTTGCTTAAGTGCTTTCTTTTTAACAGTTTTTCCAAGACTGGTGCTGCTGTACTATCCTAATTAAAGTTAAAATATAATTGTGAAACATAATCAGTGCCAATTTACTGTATTTGAAAAAGTAATATATGGATTTTAACATGATCTATACAGGACAGGCTTGAATCTCGATGTTTGTGCAGCTTAAATCTCCATGTACTGTATGTGGAGTGTTGCTTTAAGAATTTCTGTTGCTAAAACAAATAGCTAAATTATCAATGCACTACAAAATCAGACAGCAAACAACAGATGGTCTTTTCACTGTAAAATGTAAAGTACAAGCTCCCCAGTATGTGTGACAATCTAACTTTAGAAACATTTAACTTAATTTACTGGAACATGCAATGGGAGTACATTTTTCTACATAAAAATGGTTGTTTAGAAATGTAAGTGGTAAGGTGTTAGGGTTTAAAGCAAAGCAAAACCCGGACAATCACCCTTATCCTTCTGGAGAAAAAACTCAGAGGCAGATGACTGGCTTGTTCCAGACAAAAAAGAGCACTGTTGTGAAAAGGTTTGGTAACTGAAGGAAGAGGGCACACAGAACATGTAGAAGCTGCATTTATTCATACTAGGACGATGCACTGACAAGGATGAGTACTACACCTGAGGTTTGCACCTAGGTTTTAAACATGCTAGCATGCTTTATTTTTTTTATTTCCATATTTGATATAACTTCTTATTGTAGATTTGCTCATCATCAAAAAAGACAAAGGCAGTTAGTTCTATGACATGTCCTATACCAAGACCTCTTTCAGGGTACGTAAAGTTGGTGTTCTGGAGTGTAGAACAGAAGTCTTTTAAAGAGCAGGTAAAGAGGACTACAATCTATCAGGACAAATAAAACTGACAAAATTATATGCTGAGGCCACATGCACAGACCTTCCTCAGAAAGCACAATAGGATTTTTTAAAGTTTTCAGCTCGAAGCAGTTTCTTCTAAGTAAAAAACAGTCAAAACAACAGCAGCTGATCCACAGTAGAGTGAAAACATCTAAAATGAACACATACCTTCAAGCTCCTCATCTGGCCACCATCCTAGGTCACAGGCCTTACAGGTAAACTCATCCTGAACATATTCATTATCTTTGCAGGCTGTACAGATCCAACAGCAGCTGACCTCTCCTTTTCTGATAACCTGTAACAATACAATCTGTGAGTACTGTACATAATTATGTATTTACCCATAAGCTCACTTTTCAGAACTTTCAAATTAAAAAAACAAAACAATCAAGTGAATTCACTACTTAAAAGCAGCAAGATCAATTTATTTACACAATTTATTATCAGAATGTGATCTTTGGAAGAATTTGCCTGACTTGATATGTCAGAAATATGGAAAAAATATTAAATTTATGGACTATTATGACAGTTCTTATGTGTTTGTTGACCATTTAGTATAGTAAGTGATATGCTCATTTATTATCTTACTTCAGAGCAACACTTGAGTATATTTGAAAGGAGTTTTGTCAGAAAGACTAATGATGCCAAGGATTATAGGAAGAAAAACAACAATCATTAATATAATATATAAACATGTTACGAAAAACATACTGTGTTTGTGTTGGAACACTAGTGAATGGACTGCAATGGCTGTTTTGTGGTAATATTTTGTGTCAGTTTATCCGACAGTATCATATGTGTTACGGATGTCGGAAGGGCATGCCATGGAATGACAAGGAGAGCAGTAGAGACCCTATGCGTAGTGGCTAAAGGGGCAACACGTGGGTTAACGCAGGCTTAGGGGGTCAGACGATGTCGGTAGAGAAACCTATGCCCTGGGACGTGGGGCGACCTGGTAATAGGTGGGTCTCACGACATCAGTACCCTCAATGCTGAGCCAGGAGCCGAGCAGACACAAGAAGTAAATAGGCAACACAGGAAGACACACCCGAAAGACATGAATAATCACAGGGAACTAGGAACAGGGAAGAAGAGCAGCACCCTCTAGGTGTAGAGGGCGTGACAATATGGATCACAATAATGTTGACACTAACCAAAGGCAAGGAAAGGAAAATAAACAAGCACTGTTAAAGCATTCTGGTTTACCCAATGTAACCAAACTGGTAATGTTTTGATAATGATTACATATTATCTCTGGACCCACTGTACCTTTATCTCCCCCTTTGAGCAAGGTTCGCTGCATACAGAGCGCACCATCCCACTGCGGTTCATTTGAATTCTGTAGTCATCAATATTTAAGTTTCCTTCATGCCAGGATCCAACATTGATATAGTCATAATGACCAGGTTCCACATACTGGAGATTCATGATATCATACCTAAAAGTAAAATCAGAGATACAGTGTCTCAGGATGAACACTGTCACACAAAAAATATGCTGCTTGTCCTAGAGTAAATACATTATATGATTAAACTAGTGTGATACAATTATTTAAACTTATGGTTCATCAGAAAAACTCTCACTCATGGACTACTAATGAACACTTTAGTATAGCAATAGAATAACCGTCTTTAAAGTCTTTCCAGTGATACCTTGAACCTGTTCTTAATATCAGAATATGACTTTTAATACAGAAGCTTATTAGAGCCAAAGAGAAAAAAAAATATCTTGCTTATACGAGATAGTATTAGATTTATATGAGAAAATGATTGAATTTAAACAAGAAAATTATTGCGTTTAAATGCAGTAGTTAATTTGTGAACAACATCGCCTACTATTTTATTGCATTATATATGTAATAATATTGTACCGAGTAAAGTAGTTTTGACTTTAACAACAGAATAATATTGTTACACTCTTTTTGGAAAACAATAATGTATACATGAAGTAGAGCACAGTCTGTGAGCAGTCCTCTGTTAAATGCATGTGCTTGTCGCTGTTTCTGTGACAAGTAGAAATGACACTGTTTTCCAAACGTATGTTATTCTTGATGTGAAACTGCAGAAATATGTACTGTGCAGGGGGTTTTGCAGACTCTTTAAACATTGAACAGAATACTGACAAAGATTCCTACCATGGATTTCAAAGATTAAAACAATATTGAACCAGTCACCATCTAGTGTTGAATTTGTGTTTTTACATTAAAATCCTCAAACCTTCTATGGTATTATTTATATTTACAAAATAATGTCTTTACTATATTATTTCAATCAAAAGAGAAAATGGAAATGTACATGTTAATCAAACAAAAATGGAGCCTCAAAAATTCCCTGGGTTTCCATATTAATGTATACTTTGTGATGGTGCAAGGGGCTATGTCTTCAAGGGGCGTTACTTCCCCCTTGGTTTCTTACAATTTTTAGAAGCTTTCCCCTGCCAAGAGCCTGGACTTCAGCAATTACTGGAGCAAAGATCAACTGTGCACCCTGCTCCAACACATACAGTATAAACACAGTGCCAGACCGGTGACGTACGAGAGAAGAAGTCGGAGTATGAATGACACAAGACCTTCACATCAGCTTCTACCTTGCACAAGCTGATACACCACTAAACTAGCTTCTTGGCTGAAGACTCCCGACTCTAGACACTCGGCTGCCTAACAAGCCTTTGGGCTGAGGACTGGTACTATAACTAGTCCAGGCTGCTGGCTCACTAACACGAAGATTTTACTTACTCAACCTTACATGCCTCGGATTGCATACACACTCCTTTTTTACTACCTTAGCCATCATGGACAAGCATCGACCACCCTGTTGCTGTGCCAGATAGAGAGCCGAAAATGGTTCAAGTCAATAAAGAGTAGTCTGACTTCAGACCTGTGTGTGGTGTGCATTTTTGATTGGGGCCTTACATAGAGCCGGTGCTCCTATTGTGAGCTGCCCATGCACCATTCACAATTTGTAATTTGTACACACAACATAACTTATTGAATTGAAGTAATATTTTTTTTCTGGGACACAAATATATGAAAATCAGTACTTATGTAACCAGAAAGACACAAACATACAGAGAAAATAGTCATCTAATTTTACAAGAAATAAATGTTTAAAAAATAGTAATCTTTGCAAAGCTTTAAAACGTTCTTTACAAAATAAATTGGTTCAAACTCTTGTAGATATAAGAATAAGATCATTACCTGCCAAGTGTGTCCCCTTTCTCATCAAACCGTACCTCCTCTCCAGATATACCTGTGAAAGAGGTATTTAACAGGAATTCTAGCAGCTTGCTGCCATCAATGGGGTTCATGGCATCACAGAGCCCAGTGTGTCCTGAGCACAATTTATGATGCATATCATGTAGCCCATGGGCCATGGCATAAATGGCATTGATGACGAATCCCATCTTACTGTCTTGCACATAGTTTTCTTCCAAGCTCTCATTGCCTGAAAATAAACAAAAGTACTAAAAATTAACAACAAATAACCTAACAGCTTATATGAACTGAAGAAATGTACAATAGAAGTTGCAACACTTGGGTCAGAATCGATTAGTCAATTAGTCAAAAGTCATTTAATTGGGTTAGATGGGACAAAAAGCCTCCTTTCATTTGTAGCCTTTCTTATTTTAAATCACAAAATGCAGATGAAAGAATCGTGATAATTTTCAGTATTGATGGGCAGCTTCACTCTTCCTGAAATTTCTCAAGCTGTGGACGCTAGACAGCTTAGACAGATATGACCGTCCTGGGGTGGTGACCCTTGGCCCTACAGGATATGGCCTGTCCCTTACAGAGCCAGGTTTATTATGCCTCTGGACTATTCTCTAGTCTGTTCGAATAGAAAATCATATTCTCTGAGCTTTTATCAAAGATGGGCTAATCATACCAAAAGCAACAAGGTAATCTTTATGAGTGAAGCAGGGTATAATCCTCATTTTATGCTGTGCTTACATCAGATGTCATGTCTTAAATCATGTCTTTCAAATGGTTATTTATACCGTTTCTCATATATTCATTATGGGATTTTAACTCAATTAAAATGCCAGATACTGACACTTTTAAGAAATCACATTACGTGGCCTCAATATTTTGCAATTTAAGAAGTAGATTACATTATATATGTGCCTCAGGAGCAACTGCTAAGTCTAGCATTTTCATTGTGCATCTTATAAGATGAATAATGAAACACAGAAGCTTTCTAAGAGTTAACTACCGCATGTACAAAATGGACCAGGCCTTTTAACACATCATAAAGCAGCTGTAAGGACTGTAAAATGTGTATTGTACAAAATTGCCTTGTTTTGTTGTTACAACAATCATTCTTTCTTGTTATGACAATGTCACTCTTTGCAGTAACAAAATGTACAAGATAGTTAATACTGTTAGGAGAGATACAAAAGCTGGTGAAATAATGTATTTTGGTCATGTCAGATGCATGAATGATACAAAACGTTTGGAAGTTTGTGTTGTGTATGTTGTGTCTCTGTAGAAGACAATAACATGGGTGTTTATTAGCAGTTGTAATGCTACAAAATCCCAAACTGACAATTGAACATTGGTTCTAATGGATGTTTTTACAACATGTAGTCTACAAATACTTATTGTCACATCCATTTTGTACAAAATGAAAACTAATTTTTAAATGCTGTCACAAGGTTTTTTACAATCATGGCTTCATCTAACAAAGCACAATATATTAACTTAAATAGAACTGGACCATTACTATTATGCAAAAGTTTTACTTACTGTGTAGTATAACCATTTTGTCATTAAAATTCAATAATTATTAATCTTAAAACAAACTAAATCGGCAAAAAATAATTAAATGGTCAGAAGGTACTAATGCATTCAACCAGTAAACATTTCCATACACTGAAACACCATTTAATTTTCTTTAAATCTAGAGCTTAATAAAATTCTGTAGTTCACAACAGGGAGTCAAGATGATAGATTATTTGTACTGAATCTCTCAGGCTCGCTCCTGCTGCAGAGCTGCGGAGTGACTTACTGTAGTGTTTGCCATGGTAGCTGGCCACACATCCACCCCCTGTCACTCTGTGCCTGTTACCATGGAAATGCATTCTGATGGGAAATCTGCATCACCTGTGGGCAACATACATCCATGTCCACACCAGGTGGTGCAGAATATTTAAGGACTCCTAGCACTTCAAGGGTTCTTTTACAGAGTTTGTTTTGTCTGAGTCTCTCAAATCTTTTCTGTTTCCCTAGCTTTGCCTTGCTTGGAATCCCAACTTTTGCTTTGTTTATTATCTCATCACCAGGTCACACATTGGCTTGTTACCTCTCTGTGTTTTCTTGGCTTTGAATTATGCTTTGTTTATTACAATATCTTCTAGATTTGCACTTTGCTACAGACTTTCACTTTGTTTCCTGGATCTGACCCTCATGTACAGTAGGTCTGACCACACCTATTGGATTTCCTTTGTGCCTTGGACTATATTTCATATCACTTTCACCGGCTTTGATACCCTGCCTGCTCGACCACGAATGGTGACAAACGTGGGCTGTGTTTGCTCCCTGATTTCCTTGCCTGTCTGCTCTTGTCTGTCCCATGCTTGCACAACATAGTGCATTTCCATAGTCAGAGG